GGCAATTTTAATCAGCAAAGAAACTTACATATGGGGCTTGTCTTAGGCAAGAACAAGACAAACAGGTCTCTGTACCCATCTGCCAGAATCTTAAAAGTTTTCATAGAGGCCTTAACAGGGTGTAGTCATATATATCATCCAGTCGTCTCAACACCACATTATTCTCAAGGTTGTGTCCTTGAGGCAGCTTGTGTTTGGGGAGAGGGATGGGAAGGCAGGTGGAAGGCACATTCCAAGGACAGGCGAGGGCAGTAAGAAGCCTCTGATTGCCCAGATCCAGCTTGTGGGTCAAATGGCAGTCACATCTTCTCAATGACCTCCAACAAGGGGCTGCTTAATAACTCTGTGGGGAATAAATTAATGGACTATTGGAAATTATCCTACAAAGAATGTTTTTTTGTTTACATATCTATTCAATAAATAATTGTTGAGAAACTATAAACTATATCATGTCTTATGGCAGATACTAAGCACACAGCAATGAATAATATGAAAAGAAAAATTACAGTCCTCATTCAGTTGACAGTCTGGTTGCAGAAAACAAAATAAATTAAGTACACAATAGTCAGATGATGCTAACTGCTATGGAGAAAAGATGCATTTACAAAACAAAGATGAAAGGTCTCTGCAATTTTATAAAGAGGTGGTTGGGGAAGACACCAAGTACAAAGTACACACTAGACACAATGTACATTTGAAGAAATGTTTGAATGAGTGGAGCTGTGAGTCATGTAAACATTGAGAAATAGAGTTCCAGGTAGCAGAAAGAGCAGGTGCAAAGGTCCTGAGGCAGGAGTGTGCTTTATGTGCTTCAGATATAGCAAAGTGACTAACATGGCTGGAGCAGAGTAAGGGAGAACAAGATTGTTAGAGGATGAGCTAGAATAGGTCATGGGGACCAGATTTTGTTGAGCCTTATAAACCATAGTTAGAACTTTGGCTTTTATTCCAAGTAACAGACACACGATGATTTTGAGCAGAGAAATGAGAGGATATGACAGGTTTTATTTTATTTTTTAAGGATTTATTTATTTATGCATACAAGAGCTGAGTACAGGCCAGAAATGGAGGGGTGGTGAGAGGATTCACCAGAGACTGAGCAGGGAACAGAATAGGCAGATGGACAGAACGAAGTACCCTGCTGAGGGGAGCAGCGGGTAAGACAGAAGAGGTCTACATCGCCATGTGGTCTCTCCCTGGCTGGACCAGGATTGAACTTGTGCTGCAGAGGCTGTGGATTGCTCCACAGTGTGGTGCTTAACCCCTTACCCCAGCAGGGAGGCCATGACAGGTTTTAAATGAATCCTCTCTGGCTAGTGTATTGTGTATATTGTAGTGGGGTGGGAGGAAGAGTGGGTATAGAAGCCAAGGAAAAACTTAGATTTTTTTTTTTTTTTAAGATTTATTTATTTATACAAGAGCTGGGGAACAGGCCAGATGTGCGGGAGGGTGATAGGATTCACCAGAGTCAGAGCAGGGAACAGAATAGGCTGAGGGACCAAAGACACTGCTGAGGGGAGCAGCGGGGGATGCAGGAGAGGCCTGTGTGGACATATGGGTTTCTCGCCAGGCGGTTGGGAATCGAATCGGTGTCACAGAGGCTATGGACAGCTTCACAGGTTGCATTCAACCAGCTGCGCCACCGGGGAGTCCCAAAAAACTTACAGATTTTCAAGTCAGAGATAACGGTGGACAAAAGTGACCTGGAAAACTTGTAGAGAACATGCATATTTGTTTTTCATTAATAATTTTGAAGATGGGGCCTCTCCAGGTGGCTCAGCAGTTGAGCGCTGGGCTGCGAAGCTGCCCACAGCCTCTGCAGCATGTGTTCTATCCCCGGCCACCGCTAGTGTCCCACATGGCATGCAGACCTCTCCTGCTGCACCTGCTGCTCCCCTCAGCAGCGTATTTCGTCAATATGCATGTTCTGTTCCCCGCTCTGGCTCTGGTGAATCCTCTCACCCTTCCGTACTTCTGACTGTACCCAGTGCTTGTATAAATAAATAAATAAATCTTTTAAAAAAAATACATAATTTTAAAGATGAAAATTTTACAACAGTTACATTTAAAGTTTTAATGGTGTTTCATAAAGTTAAAATCAGCTCCTTGCACTACAAAATGTTCTCCCCTCTTACAGATAAAATATTTGTATATCTAAGTGTTCTATATGTATCCTCGTAGATTGAGTTACCTATACCCAAAATTCAGAAATGTTAAGACTCGTTCCTTAATTACCTTCTAAAATAACCCTAAGAAATATAAAATTTAAGCCCAAGTAGTCATAAACCGTGAATAAATTACACAACATCCTTATCCAAAACTGTTTCCATGGTGGAGTTCTCAAGTACTCATTACTACCCTGAGATCATGGGGAGAAAGCACGACGAGACAGGCAACCTAAACAAAAGAGGGATGCTGAGTCTTAAGGTTAAATCTACCCATTTTGATTTTGAACAGGTCTTAATGTTTTTCCTTCACAAAACAAAATAGAGACACATCAAATGGCAGTAATCATTGGAGTAAAAACCACATTGTTGTTAACATCTGCAGTAACAATTTATGCATAGTCTAAGTGAAAACATTGTGTATTGGGAACAGGAAGTGGAGGGGAGGTACTATACAGACCTACTTTCAAATCCAAGTAATATCCCTTAATTGCAGGGTTTGAACCAAATGCTTGATTCAGTTTTGGAGTTTCAAGATTTTTTCTTCTCTAACATAGCATATTGCATGAGGCTATTATTGTATGAGGATTAAGTAAAAACGAAATAATGCCTACACAGGGACTTACACAATTCTATGAATATGCCACTTGTATATTTATATCACCCTGCACTCTGCAAAACAATAAAAAAGAATAATATTAGATAGGAAGGGCTACTGAAGCAAGAAAAAATGCATTATTCTACTTCTCAAACCCAATCAGATAGGAATGGAAAGAATCTACTGCAGAAACTGCACTAAGAAATTCAGACTTGAGGCTCTTTTAGTCTATGAAGAGATTCTAGTTAACCTAATTATGATAAAGGGACCTTAATTGGCCTAAGGGAATGTCCCTGTGATGAAATTGTGAGAACAAATAGATTTGTGCTGAAAGTGTCTCAGAGAATGAAACCTGAGGGCATATTCAGACAATTGACAGTATATAATTGATTCTGATAGAAACTTTAATATAACCACAGCAGAAAAAAAAAAATTAGCCTTAACATGGCATGTCATTATTGTTATATATTTGCATATCCTGTCTTGTTGAAATAAGACTGGAGTTTTTAACTTGTACATCTATCAATTTTTGTATTAGCCATTAATTCTGATGTTTTAGTATTATTTATAATTTGTGAGATATTTCTAATCCAGCATTATCCTGGCATTGATTTGAATTTTCTCAAGACATGGCTGTCATTTGCATTCAATTCCCCAAGTGCCCAGGCTGTTACTGTCCCAGGGAAAATTCCTGTACTATAATCTCCTGGAGGCAACACTGCAAGAAAGGTGTGTGGAAGAGCTCCATGCTCTACTTTAGAATTGTCACACATCTCTAATGCTATGTAAAATGAAGTGATTGTTACATATAGGACTTTTCAAGTCCAAATGTGCTTGATTTGACCCAATTCTCAGTTTTTCCCTTGCAATAACAGGGTTAATGCTTGAGAAAAAAAATAAAGAAAATTGCAGAAGTTGCTGCTACATCAAAATCAACTTGTTACTATTAAAATTATATTTAACAGAGTTGCCATATACAAGCTTCTATTTTTCGGTTGGCTATACACAGATGTGGATCTAAAGGAGGAAGTGCGTGACTTTCATCTTCTCTTGATAATTTTATGTTGATTACAAATTATATAGATGGAAGGAATGTAAAATAAAGTGTAATGAATGCCAAGAAAAGAAAGGAATAGCATAGTTCAATGGCGGAGAAAACCAATTTTAGAATCAGAAAGATATGTTCAAATCTGAGTTCCTCGACTTATTAGCAGTGTGACCTTTGTCGATTTATTGGACTTCTCCAAGTTTGTTTCCTGATCTTAAAAGGATGCTTGATATTCCTATGTTGCTAACTTATTGTGAAAATTGAGTAAAAAAAATATAGTTCTCTATATGTTCTTAATTTTCTTTATAAAAATAATAAGCACTCAAGTATTATTACTGTGTGATTGTAATTACTGTTATAATTATTAAGAAGTAAAAGACGAGATCTGTGGTTTCAGTACTCAGTCTTGGCTACTTTCAACTCCTTTTCCCTCTGACCCACTCCTTCGCTAAGAAGGACGGCTGTGGTTATAGATTGGGAAAAAACTGAGGGGAAATGTTCCCCATTGTGCTAAAAGATAGTGCTTTTAGGCTAAACTAAACAGAGTGAAGGCACTGCCAACTCTCTGGGGACAATATCTTCCTCTCAAGGATAGATAAATGATACAGTCATAGACCAAGCTTTGTGAAAAAGACCCAACTACATATATCTGATTATCACCAAAGATCTACAGTGCGCTTTCTCCTTCTTCATTTGGGGGGGCTGAGGGTGGGGTGCTTAATTTTTATTTTGTCTAAGATGGTTAGGCTTCATCCCCACACATCTAAATGAATGAAAATGTTTCTGAGGGGACTAAACCTTTCCTTGGAAAAGAGTGCTCGTTGCGCGAATGCCTCAGCCGCCATTTGTGAAGGTGGGCGGGACTTATCTGAGCAAGATAGAATGTTCCTTTATTGGAAGATTCTGGGAGAATCCTAAGGATCCTGCCCTAATTGAAGCTCTGCTAGGCAGCCATGAGCAGGCCCAGAGACTCGCTTAGTTAAACTCATATCATAAAAGATTATGGGGAGGTAGGCGACCGAATGGAAGTTGTGGAGTTTGAGGTGGCAGAGGAGTGAGAGACAGGATGGACTCCAGGGAAAATCCTGTGGATCTGGGGGCTCTCGGGATCTCCGAGGATGCTAATGACCCTTTCTTATGCTCCATCTTCTATTGTGATTTTCCTGATCTACCACCTTGGCCACCTCAGCCACCTCGGCCACCGTCTCAGCTGCAACGGCGGCAGCTACCGTTGAATGAGGACGCGTGCTCAGCTGAATCCTTTGCGGACCGCACCATGGCTGGTAGGTGGCACCTTGTAAAAGTCTATTACCTGAACGAAGAGCAGAAATGGGACGATCTAGGCATGGGCCATGTCTCTTCCACCTATGTGGAACAACTCCAGGGCATGGCTCTGCTAGTCCAGTCAGAGTCCAATGGTTCAGTGATCTTGGAGTCAAAAATAAATCCAAACACATCCTATCAGAAACAGCAAGGGACGCTGATTATTTGGTCTGATGCCAAGAACCCTGGTTTGGCATTAAGTTTCCAGGAAGCAGCTAGTTGCCGTGAGATCTGGGAGGACATTTGCCGAATTCAAGGTAAAGATCCTTGCCACGAAATCACACGAGACCTCTTAGAGCAATTAGAAGAAGAGCGTTTTGGTCAAATGCCAGAACCTGGTATAATGATTGAGCTGCCTAACTGTGAGCCCAGTAAACTTCAACAGATTGCTAATTTGGTTACCTCAGTTCTCCCCTCACCTATCAGTAAGGAAAGGCTGGCTCTGATCTTAGAAAATGAGAACTATATTCAACAACTACTGCAGCTCTTCCCTGTCTGTGAGAACCTAAAGGACATTGAGGGCTTACACCATTTGCACAAAATTATTAAGGGAATCTTATTTCTCAACAAGTTATCTCTGTTTGAGATCCTGTTTTCTGATGAGTGCATTATGGATGTGGTTGGATGCCTAGAATATGATCCTGTTTTGGATCAGCCAAAAAAACACAGGGATTTCTTGACCCATAATGCAAAGTTCAAGGAGGTTGTGCCTATAACAGACTGTGAGCTTAGGCAAAAAATACATCAGACTTACAGAGCCCAGTACATTTACGACATATTATTGCCTACGCCATCCATATTTGAGGAGAGTTTTCTTTCTACTCTTTCCACTTTCATTTTTTTCAACAAAGTTGAGATAGTCACCATGCTGCAGGAAGATGAAAATTTCTTGTCTGAAATCTTTTCACAGTTAAGTGATAAGACTATCGATGATAATAAAAGGTGTGAGTTGGTGCTTTTTTGCAAGGAGTTCTGTTCATTTTCTAAGACATTACAACCTCGAAATAAGGATGCACTCTTCCGAACCATGACAAAATTGGGAATTCTTCCAGCTCTTAAAATTGTAATGCAGCTGAATGATTTGCAAGTAAGGTCAGCTGCTACTGATATATTTACTTATATGGTGGAGTATAATCCATCCATGGTTCGAACTTTTGTGATGGAAGAAACCCAGCAACTTGAAAATGGTGATCTTTTCATTAATATAATAATTGAGCAGATTATTGGTGATACTGATCCCGAGCTAGGTGGTGCTCTTCATTTAGTAGGACTTCTTCGTTTACTACTTGATCCAGACAACATGTCATTTGCATTTAGTAAATGTGAAAGAAGTGAATTTCTGAATTTCTTCTATAAGCATTGTATGCATAACTTCATAGCACCACTTATGACCATCACTTCGGAAGATAGATTTGAAGATGACGATATACTTGAATCTGACAAAAATTGCCTGAATAATTATCAAACAGCGCAACTTCTTACCTTAATTTTAGAACTACTCACATTTTGTGTTCAACGTCATACACATTACATTAAAAACTACATTCTGAGTAAGGACTTGCTAAGAAGAGTCTTGATTGTGATGAAGTCAAAACACACTTTTCTGACCTTGTGTGCTATTCGCATGATGAGAAGGATGATTGGCCTTAAAGATGAACTTTTTAACCGTTATATCATCAAGGGTAATCTTTTTGAACCAGTAGTAAATGCTTTTCTGAATAATGGGACTCGGTACAATATGCTGAATTCAGCTGTTATTGAGATGTTTGAATACATCCGAGTGGAAAATATCAAGTCTCTTGTTACACACATAATCGAAAAGTTTTATGAAACACTTGAATCAATAGAATATGTTCAGACCTTCAAAGGATTGAAGATGAACTATGAACAAGAAAAAGAGCGACAAATTCGAATACGGAATAATTTACATACTATCCTGTTTAGTAAAATATTCCGCAGAGTTGCCAAAGTCTTGGATAAGAAAGAAGAAATGTGTTTTGAAGAAAATACAGAGGAAGAAAAAGCAGTTGTGCCACCTTTGGGGAGTGATTTTCAAGATCATTATGATAAATTTATTGCTGTTACTTTAGAAGAAAACAAAGCGACTGCAGAGCCACCTGAAAGAACATCTTCTGGTGCCTTCAAATATACTACGTCCTCTTCGGCTGGTGCTGGTAATGGGGCAGATAACCCACAATGTAGTAGTGTGGTTCCCTTAGTAGATTATCCAGATGATGAAGATGAAGAAAAGGAAGAAGAAACATCGCCCAGAAAAAAACTACATTTTAGCGCATAATATCTTGATGGGTCCCTTAGAAATACTAAATTCTTCATTTCTATAATCCTGTAAACCTCAATTAGCTGAAAAGTTTGAATCCAAAAGCTTTCTTATGTGAATTTATAAGTAAATACTACATGGCAAAGGTGTTTAATGTATCATCTACAAAGGTTTAGTTTTGTAAAAACCAGGCTTTCCAGAATTTTAGAAAAACAAAATTAACCAGAACCTGAGTGATAACTTCTTAGCAAGACAAGTCTAAGTTTGGGGGTGGTAAGAGGGACACAAGTTGACAATATAATGTTAATGCACTGTTGTTCCAGGGGTTATATATTAGAAACAACTATTAACTGTACAGTTACAAAGTGTATACTATCACTCGCCCAATGGTTCTGCTATGGTTTTCTTTCCTTTAGTTGCCTCCTTTGAAATTAAAATTTATGTTTTTGTTTATTGGAAGACAGTCACCTCTAATTAAAAATAAAGTTAAGGTATTCATATTTCTGTGAAGATCTAACAAATATTCAACCCTCTGGGTAATTGGAGGGAAATATATACCATCAGTATATATTTTCATGAATAAAAAAGAAAGTTGGATTCAAAATGTGCTGTTGTACTATGATTTTTTTTTTTTTTAGATAAGACACGCCAAGGCTCTGTTCAGTAGTGATCTGAAAGGTTTTATTCTGGGACCTTGGAAATGGGTAGAACTGAATGCTTTCAATTGCCTGTGTTGTGAAATCATTTTCTGATTCATTAATAAAGTAGTGTCTCCAGAGTGATAGGTTTTAAAAGCTTACATAACTTTACAAAGACTAACATACAAAAATATTGCTGAATGAAGTGGCATTTTGCACCAAGGAAAAAGTTACTTAAGTGTCAGATTCCACATCCAGCATCTGAAGTTTTTTTTTTTTTTTTTTCTATAAACAAACAAGAGTGTAACGTGAAAGGTAATTTCTTAGAGTGAATGCAATTGAATTTCTAAAAATAAATTGTAGCAGAGAATAAGAGGTTTTTTATTTAGAGCAGCATGTTAACTGGGTCCATATTCCCTGGAATAGCTTAAATTGAAGCAGTTCCTCCTATTTTGAAGACTTCAGAGTTAATGTTGATTTGGGCCATTGTTTGAACAGGCTGGACTCTGTAGAAATGAAGAATAGTTTTCTCTAAAACATACATTTCATATATGTATATCACTGTACTGGTTTTGTATCATTCATGCTGAACTACAAAGTTCAGGAATTAAAAGGTGACCCTGTAATTCTCAAAATAGAAGAGACCATTTTAGATGAGCTGTTGTGCCAATAGGAGGCACGTTGTAGGCAAAACTAAGAGACTGTCGTGAAAGAGCTTCAAAGGTGTGTTCTTAAAACAATCATTACATCAGATAGAAAGTCTGCTAAAATGTGGACATGACCTCAGGAGATTTAATCACATGCTGCTGAGGACGTGACACTGCCGAGAAGCTGCATTTTCTCATCTCAAGCCATGCTAGTTTAATTAAATGTTGGAATGGGATTTCTCGTGTTGTTAGAGTATGTCAGAAAAGGCAGTTTGTTTAAAGCGCATTTCATGTTTTCCTTCTGATTAGACCTTCATGGGGAATGTTATTCACCATGCACACATTTGCATGCATACAGCTTTTGGTTTGGAAAAAATAGACTCAACTCTTTGTTTTGATGGGAATAGCCACAGTTCCATAACAAGGAAGCTGTGTACAACTGGGGAAGAAGAAAAAAAATTATTGTTTTTTTTTCTGCTTCTCCTCTTCCCCTGGGCTAGTTTTAATCTGCCATGAAAAAATTGATACAGTAACAGAAAACAATATTTGCATTTCTTGCTGTATAGGCCCCAGTGAGTCTGTCAGGAAAGATAAGGGTGGGGGTAAGTGTAACAGGAAGTTAAAAAAGAAGAAGAAAGGAAAAACACAAAAAGCAAGAAAACGACAGGCATTCTACTGAGCTGTGTGACCTTCAGAGCCCTTTTCCAGCAACAGCTATTTCATGTTGGGGAAACATGATGGTGGAACCTACCATTAAGGGGCCATTTAAGAGGGCGACAGTACACAGACAAGCAATCCTTACTGCCTGCACACTGAGTGAGAAATTGGCCAAATGTTCAGTCTTTCTAGATACGGTTTGAGAAGTTACCACATCAAAAATGTTTAACTTCATCTTTAAGTTTTTAGAAGTAATTTTTAAAGGATGCTTACATGGGTTATTTATAAAGAGAAGAAACAGTTTGGAATGACTGTATTTACAATACAATTCAGGCAAAAGTTTTAGGAAAGGTACCCTAGTTTTTCAAGGTTTTGGCTTTTAAACATCTGACTTCCAGTAATTTTTATGGCCTACTGACTTTCTAAACATACCAACAAGAAACAGGTGATATAACAGATAAAGCAAAGGTTTTGTATCCAGACAGTCTTTGAAGACAATGCAGGTACTTACGCTTACAGGTTCCCTGACATTAAGCAATTTACATTTTTGTTCCTCTACCCTCATTTCCCCATCATGTCTTAAAAATTAGAAACTACATGTAAATTACCCAGAATATATTTAGTGCCCAATAAATCACCTTTAAACCTTATTAGCAGCAGCCACAATGGCAGTGCAATCATTTCCAAGATGATGCAGGGTAAAACAAGATATGACCAATTATATTATATGTTATACTCATTAATCAATAATCTTATATTCTGAGGCAAGTTGATAAAAATATAAGTTAAAATTGAGCTTAGCTCCGATTGGCAGACAAGGCTGTGTGTATGCATCATGCCCTATTGAGAGACACAATTGAAATAAAAAGCCCTAAACGTGGGTAGAAGAATAAACTTTCAGAGAAAGAACACGGTTGGGCATGGCGTCTGCAGTGTTAACCAAGGAATGAGAGACATCAAAGCTAAAGAGTTAAAATGAAATGAAAAGAGTAGGAGGGAATGTGGGGGGAGCACCAAAGATTTAAAAATGCCAGGAGTTGCTAAGCCCCATTCCCCCACACCCCACCCCAGCACCAGTCTTGAACCACTGTGTATTCCTAGGTAACAGAGGAAATGATCTTTTCCTAAAGCCACTGAAATAACAGGCAAAGCTGAGAGTCCTGGTAAGTATGTTGTTCTCTCAGGGCTAAGCCCTTCTCTTCTGGGTGTTGAGGGATCCAAGATGCTGCGATTTACCACCCTGAGGTGCAAATTTTCATGTTTTCCGAGAGAGAGGTATTAGTGCCTGACTTCCAGCCAAGAAGTGTAATCCCGTGAGCACCAACACTGCCCCTGGAAAGCAAGACTTTTAAATTGACAGACTCACTTCAGTAGTGTCTACAGGTTGGAGACAGTGGTGAGTAACCCTTGAGATCCCCAGTTCAATTAAAGTGACTGAGCCCAGTCCTTATTTTGGAGAGTCTGCAATGCCAGTCAGTCCAGTCTTTCTTGCAAATTCATGCCACCAACAGGATGGCATGGCATTAGTCACCCACAGAATGACTGAGATTGAGGGTCAGGAGGACACCCAGAAGTGTGTGGAGGTGGCAGAAGAGTTGTGATCATCCCCTGCTTCTGACAGATCAACCCATAAGGTGAATGGGAAAGGTGCTCAGAGTTTAGGGGAGATAGCCCTGGCCACTCAGCTAAGCTGGAGGTGTTTGCAAGGGTCTGGGAGAGCTGCACCAGAATGTTCTCGGTGGGGTGGAAGGCTCCAAAGGCAGTTCTGAAAGGCCAAGGTCATTAATGTCCGTTACTCCCCAGTCTACCTGAGGTGCTGGCTTGTGGCTCTCCTCCACCCCTACAATATCCGTGTGGCCCTTCCCAGTAACTATAACTTTTTCCTTTTTTTTCAATCATTCCTTACTTTCACCCAAACTTATCATCTGGAGGAATCTGGTGCGAGAGGGAAAAGAACAATTTTACAAAACCAGAATTGTGTTTGAATCACGTAGGTCCCATTTTGCCGGACTGCTACCCAGAGACTGTACCGACCAGGCTGGCAGGAGTAAGGGAGGGGGGCATATGCTTGGGGACCAGGAATGATCAGGATAGAATCTTAAGTTTTCAGAAGTGGTCCGTATAATTTTCTATTTCTTTCTTCCCAACTCAGTTTCCTTACTCTGATGTAGGACTTCTCCATCTGGCCCCTGTTGATACTTTCCATTGTAAGTGTAACCATGGCATCTAACTTGACACCACCAATTCTGCTTTCTTATCTGTGATACATGCTAATAATGCTGTTATGGCTGAATTGCCTCCCCAAAATTCATGTTGAAATCCTACCACCCAGTACCACAGAATGGGACTATATTTGGAGATAGGATCTTAGAAGAGATAAGTAAGTTACAATGAGGTCATTAAGAGTAATCCCACTTCCAATATAACTGATGTCTTTGGAAGAAGAATAAAAGAAATCAACTCCGGTACCTTGATCTTGGATTCTAGACTCCAAAGCAGTTAGGAAACAAATTTCTATATTTCAACCCACCTGGTTTGTGCTACTTTGATATAGTAGACAAAGAAAACTAATACAAACACCAAGTAGGAAAAAGTTTTAATTAAAGAATAGTAAAATTTTGATTAAAGAATAGTTTTGATTAAAGCATAGTGTCTTATAAATATCACAGAATTGTATGACGAAGAATGTCCTTGAGACAGAACAATAGCTATCATTTATTGATCATGTATATGCCAAGCACACTTTCCTAGGCAATTTACCTATATTATTTGTAATTTCACAATCAGTCTTTATGGTTGGTGTGGTGGCCATGAGAGTGCATCTAGTGGAGAGGGAATATAATTCAATATAATTAAGAATTCCACCCCATACAACACAACCATTGTCCCATTTTCTTCCTGGGCAGACTGCCTAGGGGCTGCTCCCAGCCCATATACGCATGGCAGGGCTTGGTGTTCAAAAGCAGCTCATTTCTTGGAGATGAGAGACTTCTCTGACTGGAAACTGGCTTGAGGACTTTCTGAAGGCCTTCCAGAATTTTCTTTAGGCCACATGGTGAGATGGAATGCTTCCATTATTCTTTCTCTTCTTCACTGGGATCAAATTGCCTCTCATAATAGATTCTTGAAGAACCTGGACCACCACAGCATATATTATGACTATATATTAAACAACAAACAGAGGCACACAAAGGTTACAGAGTTATGTAACTAGTCCTGGTGAGACTGTTTAGATATGTTTCTCTAACTACATAGACTTAAAGACTTCTTTCTCCTGCATGTAATATGTCATGAAATGTACCTACCATATATTAATATATTTATTATTAATAAAGTAGAAATCTGAAATCAATATTTCAGCTCTATATGAGCAAACCGTGCACAAAAATAGTAACGATATCCCTCTTTCTGCTTTACCCATGCTTCCAGAGGTCATGTTAAGCTAACACGGCTTGAATTCTCCACCACAAAAACACAGTACTCTGCAAACAACTGTCATCACACTCACCACAGGAGCTGCTAAAGAGGTAGCTAGTGAAATTTTCACTCTTGCCACAGAAGTCAAGAGAGATAAAATAGCTGTCTTTCACTATGTGGCAAGCTCCATGCTAAGTATCTTATATCTGCAGTAGGAAATTTCTAGTAACAAT